AGGTAAATTTTTCCTGTCGAAGCTGGTTGTAACCCGAAATGTTCGTTAGTAGAGGCGTTCGTATCCCGAGGTACCACTGTATCTGCACATGGATATGTATGAATATATAACCTGGGAAGCCTTTGAAACAGCCATGCTGAGCCTTCTAGGTGATGCAGCTGCCTGAGTGATTTTCAGAATTGCTTCATTTGTGCCAGTGTACTCTACTAAATAACCCTCTGAATGGTTCATACAGCTTTAATAAGCATTTTCTTAAAAAAAAAAAAAATGAGGCCATAGGGTTATTTAAACAAAGAAATGGAAGGGTGGATGAAATTCAGTGTGGGAGAAACACATTTACCCCTAGTATATTTTAAAAAGAATACAAAGATAGCTAATTATCTTCCTTACATTATATTTACAGAAAGCAGCATGAAATCAAGATTTATTTACATAGTTGTATATTTCTGTAAATAAGTTGTTCTTAAAGGAAAAGAACAGAAATTATGGCCTGTACCTTTTGCAACTTCTGAAATATGTAAGATAGGGTCCGTGGAATTATCCCCCGATCACTGTAACGTTCTGCTCCCCCTGTGATGGTAAAAGTCTTGCCACTACCTGTTTGTCCGTAGGCAAATATAGTTCCATTATAGCCAGCTAGAGCACTGAAAATGGAGACAAAATGTGCATATATGTAAATTTGTACATTTTCAATCTGTTATTAGTAAGTTATTTATTTGATTTTTATCCCATCTATATTTGTACAACTCAAGGCAGCATACATAATGCTCACTCCTCCTATTTTCCAAAAAATCCCTGTGAGGAAGTTTGGGCTAAGAGAGAGTAACTGGCCAAAAGTCACCCAGCAGACTCATGATCTCCGTTTCTAGCCCTGTACCTTAACCACTACACCAGATTGGCTCTCTTTAAAAAAAAAACAACCATTAAATTTTATTGCTAAATTTTAAAGAAGAAAAGTAATATTATATTTACTTTAGCCAAGCAAACATTCCAAAAATTGTAAACACTACAGTTTACAATTAAATACCAGGCATCCTGAGTACATTTGTTCATCATATTCAATAAATATACTAGGGCTGCACAGTACTTCAGATTCAGTTCTGAAAAAGGTCCTTTGGAGAATGCAGGGGTCATACAAATGTAACATCTGCCTGCACCTCCTTAAAACAACTGAATCTTTTCCAGGAGCATGTGGCTGCTGCAGATAGTACAACAATAGAACCAGGGAAGGAACACATCAGTAGAAAAGTTTCAAACATAATCTACATGATGTAGATGCACACACCCTAAAGCACCTTTCCCAAATTATTTCCAAAATACGCCCAGCCTAATTGTATAACTATGGCCACCTATGATTCCTGGTATGTTCCTGAATTACAATTTCCAGAAGCCCCAGTTAGATGGAGCAATAGGGAATGTTAGAAAATGTAGTTCAGTAACATCTGAGAGACCACAGGTTCTATAACTCAAAATGGGCCACTGTAACATGGCATTTATAAAATCCCCAGGTCTTTAAATGGAAATGATAGAATTCTGTGCAAGCAGTACTATAGCTAGGAAAAGTTACTGAGTGTACATTTTTCCAATCATCTGTCAGTGAAGAACATTAGTTTGACAATATAATCAAGGAACAATTATCCTGTTCCGAAACTTGTCCACATTTTATACAGACATTGTACCAGATTTATTCCGCTCAGAGCTGGCATATGTTATGTATAAGGGGAAAAAAGTAATATTTATGTGTGTACTCCATATGAGAAGAGTTTTAAATAAGTCAATCTTCAAAAAACAAAATCTTATTTCTTAGTAGAGTGTGGCCTTGTACAAATCAGCTGCTAGTCTGGTGCCATGAAAGAAGCAAAGGCCTCCAACTCATTTATTTGGAAGCCTAAGCATTTGCCAGATGGCTCAGTGTAATCTACAATAGCAAAATGTCAAAGAAAAGCACCAAAGATACCAAAGAAAATCAGAACCACTCATAACAAAAATACCAGAATTTTCAGAGACATTTGTTTTCTGCCTGATTACTAGGCAAAGTTTGTACCTTAGTTTGGAAGAAAGCTATTGCATATTTTCAAATCATTTTGAATGAAATAGTGGCTGGTTATCTTTGGCTTAATCTGAATATAGACTTTTGGATTATTGTATTGCATTAACCAAGCAGTTTTTTTTAAAAACTCCAAGTAGTTTTAGCTTCTTAGTGATAAACACTGAACAATAAATCAGGAAAAAACTTCTAATGTTTCCCACATTAGGTGATGAATTTAGTAGGCTATGTCAGTTAGAATGATCTTAGCTAAATAAGTCTGCAGATGAACCTGAGGTATGAACAGGCAAAGGATGACATGGACAATTGGAAAGGAGGACAAATGGGGGAGAAAGAAGGATATACTGTTTAACTTTCTGGGCATCCATGACAAAAATTAAGTCAAAAACTGCAAAAAAAGGGGGTAGGGAATTAGACCTCCATATATATATAAAAATCCTTTTTCCAGCTAGTACAAACTTCCAAACTAAGGTATAAACACATCAAAAAAAGTGGTTTTTCAATTACAGGAATGTGCTAGAGCCTGCTAGGAGGCAAAAGCCTTCAACCTGTAACTGATTAAGGTCTTGTCAATTTCAGACAGTAGCCCAAGGGGGCTGGGGGGGTTACTAATCAATTAATTAAGGTCACAGAGTGGGACTTGTTAATTTGTGGTTAGCACCTTTTGGGGAAGCCCTGGACTGCAGAGAAATGCTGCTCAGGAAGAGATAAACTTGTTATAAAAAGGCAGAGAATATTTGATTTTAAGGCTATGCTTGCTGGATGGAGGAAATGAGGATACAAATGAGGACATGATGTCTGGTAAACCTAGGTAGTTAGGAAGTCACTTTAAAGTTGACTCCAATTATCTAGTCCAATAATGCTGACTTTGACTGGCAATGGCTATTTGTTTGCTTTGGATTTCCATACTCAAGTACTACCTCAAACTCTAATTCAGTATTTCCATTGTTCATTAATCCCTATGCCTCTGAACTGATTTATACACCAGGATCAGATCAAACCACAGAAGCCTAAGAATCATGTACTGCATTAACTGACATTCCAGAGTATTCATAGTTAGATCATAAACTTAATACAGTAATTTTAATTTGGAAGTGACCAGACTGGATTCATCTTCTCTAGGAAAGGACAGATGAAATTAATAAAAGCCACTTCTGGCTACCACCATTAGCCAATTATACATCTACAGTGACCAGCTAGGATTATTACTAAACAGCAGTCCTGCTATTTTGGATAGGTGGAGGAAGGGAGAGTACAACCTTCTCAAAAGGAGGCTGCATGCTTTCTATCTTTATCAGGCTTAATTTTTTCTGGATTAGAGTTTATTAATCGTATTTCAGTTTAAAACTTTTCTCATTACTTATTCAGAACAATTACAATGTCCTAAAGATTTGATTATGGAAATTAAAGGTGGAGCTAGGTATTATTTATAAACTATGATTATTAGAGTGTTGTGCAGAACAAAGAAATACAGAAAAAATGCTTTGCACTGGCCAAAAGATGAAGTTTGTTTCCTGACTTGACAATCTAAAAAACAGCCCAGTTTAGAGAGGACAGATTTGAAGCACTGACTGACAAGTTTCTCAGTATTAAAATCTTCACTGAGTATCACTGAAACTCAGCAAAGTTTTTTTTGGGGGGGGTGGAGAGCAAACAAAAGGGTATGGTGCATTGTTCAAGGTGCATTTAAATTTTTATTTTTAAAAGAGCATGGCTTTTTTCTATTCTTAGTAGAATTAGATGAAAGTTTAAGTAAAAATATATTTGCCCTTTGGGTGGGGGTGAGAATACAGATAGTCCTTGACTTATGATGACAATTGGGACCGGAATTTCCATCGCTAAGTGATGCGGTCATAAAGTGCATCTACATCGCTTAGCAATGGCAATCCCTGCAATCCCGGTTGCCTTCATTAAGTGAGGATCGCAGGGCGTTAAGCAAGCAACTTCCTGCCAGTTTCCCACAACCAAAGTCAATGAGGAAG